CCTTCTTTCTTTGCGTGAACATTTGGGCGGTGTTATGCAAATCTTCCCACAGTGACGTAGACATGTGGGGGCGTGTTTAAACGAGGCGTTTTAGGAGGGCGTGGACAAGTCTTAACTTTTATAAAGAATATCTCTTTGGGTTTGAGACTTTAGTCTTTGTAACTTAAGGGATCTTTTCTATTCACGAACAGCCTGTAACACTCCAAAGAGAAAGGAAAACTTGAAATCGCATCATATGACCCCTTTAAGTGTGACCCACTGCATATTTAACAAAAGCGAATTGTGACATGGCTAACATGCTGCACAACATCTACTTTTGTGTTCTTCAAAAGAAAGAAAGTCATGCGGGTTTGCAACAGCATGAGGGTGAGTAAACGATTACATAATCTTCTCTTTGAGTGAACTACCCCTTTAACAATACACAAAAAGTCAACATGGTGACAAGCTAAACACATAAAACACATTACACACGTTGTTTACAGATTACTTAACGGTTTCAAAAAGAAAATAGTTACTTAATAATATTCTAACAGACACAAAAGATTGAGTTTCATGTAATCCATCACAATGCATGAAGATAAACGCTGCATACTAGTTCTGTGACTTGCTAATTTGTTTTCAGTGGTTTCTCTCTGGAAGCTAAATTTCTCATGAAGCATTTGCAACAATTCTCTAAGAATAAAACTGGGCAGATCGTTTAACATTCGCTTTGAGCCTCTGCCTGTAGTTTTTTAAGGATGTGTCGACAGCTAATCAGCATCATCAGTTCCGTTCATCAATACCGGTCTATGACTGACAGACACCTTGCATTAAAGCCATCTACCAACAAACGCATGTTTGATAAAGCAGAGCTTTAATTTTCCACACTCCTAAGCTGGTCAAGAGGAGATTTCGACACCAAGGCGTGTTGACATGAGCGATCAACACACAAACATTCACACACGTACCTCATCACTGATCTGGACGTATCCATTAAGCGTTGGCACAACAAATGACCAGAACAAGCGGCTTGTCAAAAGCTTAGATCGGCATTGTTATCGGACGGCAGACCTTCGATCATGTCAGAGATTATGTAAAAAGAAATGATAAAGAACTGTATAATCATAGGGGTGGTGCTCGTGCCTGTGTTTGCTGGTCATGCTCTCATTTCATAGGACAATAATCTGCGTCTCCTTCGCGGTGTTAACGGTAGATGAAGGACCGAGTCTAAGAGCCACTCACTGCCACCTACCGAGAAGTATGAGGCACAGTATAATATTATATTATATCAAGCATAGACACAATGTCTATGATATCAAGGTCCACCCAGTATCTTGTACATTTGAAAACGTCATTATATACACTTACATGAGTCATATCCATAGCGTTATAAATAATTTAATTTTATTACATTTTTTAAAAATAAACAATTATGGGAGTACACATCTGCAAAATACAAATCTGAAATACATACATAACTTAAAAGTAATAAATAAAAATAAATAACTTTAAAAAAATAAATAATTATTAGCCCTGAATTTATTCTGTATTATTTGTCTTTTATTCCTTTCTGTATTTAATATATTTCATTTATTAAATCTCTTTTATTAAATCTCTTTTGTTTTGTAGACTATTTTCTTTATTTTTAACTTTATTTTAGTCTATATTAATAATGCGTAATATTATTAGTAAAGCAATAATAAACCGTTTAAATGTTATGTGGTAGTAGGCCTATGTATATTTTGTTCACGTGAAACCCAGTCTGCATTTTTATTTACATCTCACAACTCTGTGTAAAATACATGAATAACTTTAGATTATTCAAGCAAAAGAACATTTTGGTCACAAATGTGATCTCAGCTGATCTGTTCGGAAAAAAAGTAACGCATTCGCGCCACCTAAAGTAATAATATTGACTATACAAATAATATTGAATGATTTAAATTTCAGTTTATTGCGCGACAAGTAGATTCTGAAGAAATATGAGCTGAATCAATCTGGGTATTTTGATATTTAGGGAGTTGGCACTGAATCGATGTTATGCATTTGTCAAATGATTTTGATGAAAGACAGTGTCTTTCCCTTTAATTTACAGGCCTACATTCTTTAATTAGGGCATATTTTTGATCACTCTTTGATTTCAGTACTATTTCAAGCAGCAGTCAACACAGGTCATCCGTTGTCGACAGCAGTTCTGCTCCAGCTAGATTACTTCCTTAAGGGTATGTGCACATTTTGACCCCTTTGGACCTTTATAAAAAATTAGAAGTTGTTTATTACTGGAAGATATTTAAGTTGACTCAAATCATAGGCCTACACATTTTCTGCACTAAAACTGTTACACCCTTTGATCTAGGCCTATTTGCTTGCCTCCTGTTAGGAAAACAAAGAGAGACAGCGTGTGCAAGACCTTGATGCTGGGAATGTCTTGTCATATTGAAGTTCTCAAATTGATCCATCTACATCACATGAAAATTATTAAAGCAGCATTATCAATAAAATGCAGGACTGCTTTGCTGTGATTTGCATCATTTATTTCACATACAGGTGTTTCGGTAAAGTTTCTGAAGAACCAATTGTCCCTCAGTACACTTCAAATAAGAAGACAACGACAAAAGAACATGACAAATTTTTTTTAAAACTAGCACAAATGACAAAAAAAACCAACAACAAAATACAACTCAGGTGGACATAAACTGATAAGTTCACTGTTAAACCCAAAGATATTGCCAGTTTCTGCTGTCCAACTTGTGCCTGGCATGCCCATGATTCATACAATAAACATTTCAAGCCACAGGGCATATAGGAAACCTGTCTGAAGCTAATAAATTATTCTAACTAATAATAAGGAATAATGCCAATTATAAAAGAGGGGATCGTAAGAGTTATGAAAACATGGAAGTCAAAGGGACTCAGTAAGATTAAAATAACAATGAAATAATATATCGAACATCTATTTAGATTAAAAAAAGCAACATTCACTACTTTGCAAACAACTTGTATAGATATATCATCACACAGAAACCATTTTAATCCATTTTCAAATGTATACAAGCAAACTGTGAGAGAAATGACTATAGCAACCATGTTTGCAAACTCATCTTTCCATTTTAATAGCTAATCAAGGTTACTTCTTTAATATCAGCAGGCTTAATCCACCAAGCCGCTGCGTAACTGTGACCTTCCATCTTTTATTAATAGGTCGTGTCAGTAAACAATACTTTTATGCAATAATATGGAACCTGAAATGTATATACATATGCAATCTGAGACCCCAGAACACTTGAATGTGTTTGGTCACGTGAATGAAGGATGATGTGGTTATGAGGTGGACAGGGAATTAGGGAGGATTGAGGAAGCTATTTAAAGCAACTGGAAAATATTATCGGCCTTCTGGAGTGATTCACTCTGATTATTTTAAATAAGTGATGTCAAGAGCTTAGTTTCATTGATTATTATACAATAAAATACTCAAATCTAAAGCTGGTTATGTGTGTATATTCTAAAATGTTTATTTTAAATAAGTTTATTATTTAAAAAAAAAAAAATCATCATTTTGCATATAGATTCAAAGCATTGGTGCCGTATTTCACTCTGGCACAAATGAAATAATGTTTTCTCATTATGTGTAATTGTTTTAGAAGAACAAAGCATACTGGAAAATTTGAATGATTCATTTGCGCAGTTTATTTGAGCCATTTTCGCTTGCCTTTCTCATATTTCTAGTTAAAAAAAAACAAAAGAGAACAAAAGATAGTTCAGCACAAGTATGATTTGCAGCATCCCAATGAAGCCCCACCACAGGCATGCACCGTGGGTCCAGCATGCAGAGCAGCGCGACGCATGTCACTCCACATGGCACCGGGCTCTCACTAACTTCCTCCACCACCACAGATTTGCAGCATCTGAACTCTCCCGAGTTCTGTTACAGAGCTGTCTAGCAAAATGTTACCTTTACCGCCTTGCTTATTAAGAAAAAGAGACAGAAGAGTAGGGGAGAGAGATAGTGGATAATGGTTCAAGATGTAACACGTACAGGAATGTATAATGAAAGTTAATGAGTCTCCCTTAAAGAAAAGGCCAAAAGACTTTCATGGAATATTACTCTATGTACGGATGCCACATAATATCACCTTTTTAATGAATGTCCACTGATGTATGAAATTACAAAGAAAGGTGTGAGATGACATGGTATGCATGTGTTGCATGTTCACAGTATGTACAACTGAATGTGCATGCTCATGTGTTGTAGGGGATCATGGCTGTTTCCTGTGGGAGAATGGCAGGTCGGAGGTGAGAGGTCAGTGTCTAAGGGTCACAGTGAGCTAGAATGAGGTCAGACTCGGGGCAACTGCTTTTCAATGAATTCCTTCACAGCAGACATCTCCTGTAAAGCCAATCAGAGAGTGGTATGGGTGTTAGAACTAGCATGAACAAATAATACAGTTTTATTGTAACCACTGTACTGAAGCTAAAATAATATTTTGCATGATTTCAGTTCAGACCTCATCCCGTTATTAGTTTACATGAAGTGTCCTATAAAGAACAGGAGCTTGCTTCTAACTAAATCTAGGCAGTTCTTTGCAATATTTACATTACACTGTCAGGGAAAAAAAGTCACAAGGGCGGTACCCTTTCAATTAAATCACCTTTATACAACTAAAGTATGGAACATATAAGTACTTTTTGAAAAGGTACTGCCCCAATGACAGCTGTTGTACCCTGCTGTACCACTCAACAGTTTGGGATAGGTAATTTTTTGAAAGAAACTAATACTTTTATTCATCAAGGATGCATTCAATTGGTCAAAAGACAATACATGACCACAAGACCACAACAATTAAGACATACATAACGTTAAAAATGATTTCTGTTTCTTTTAATATAATGTCTTTTGAACAATCTAGTCATCAAAAAACATGTATCATGGTTTCCACAAAAAATTATGCAGCACAACTGTTTTCAACATTGATAACAATTAGGGAAAAAAAGTTTCTTAAGCACCTAATCAGCGTATTAGAATGATGTGACACTGAAGACTGGAGTAACAGCTGCTAAACATTCAGCTTTGCCATCACAGAAATAAATTACATTTTAAAATATATGTAAACAGAAAACAGTTATTTTAAATTGTAAGAATATTTCACAGTATTACTGTTTTTTGATCAATTAAATGCAGCCTTTATGAACATAATAAACTGTTTTCAAAAACGTCAAAAAGTAGTGTAGTAATACAGTAGTAATAAAAACTACTAATCAAAAGAAGACATAGGTAGGTCTAAAAATTTGAACATGGTAAAACATGATAAATTTAGGTTTCTGTGAGCGTAACAGATGAGTCTCACCTGAGGACAGGAGCTATGCATGAGACCCGGGTAGGTGCGGAAGGTGACATTCTGTGGGGAAACGATGTTCTTCAGCTTCTCTGCCGTCATGGCCCCGTACTGCGCCGGAATCATGGGATCCATCTCGCCATGACACTGCAGAATGGGAGTGTCCTTGTTTCCACTCCCACTTGCAGCCTAATGGATAAAAAAGCAGATCCATATTGACAGACATACCTATTTACATATATACATATTTATCCTCACACAAACTCACTGCTGACATTTTGTACCTGTGGGAAAGTCTTGTGAAGTGGAAGCCAACAACTAAGTCCGACAACACCCGCTAGTTGCTGCTGAGAGGTCAGAGCGGTGTAGAGAGAGAGAGCTCCACCCTGAAGAGTACAGACAGCAAAAGAGGAACTGAAAAGCACCTGCAGTGTCAGCCATTTGAGTGATAGTACTAACTTTCAGGATGGATCACTTACCTGAGAGAAGCCACCAAGAATGATACGATTGGATGGTATACCATTCTTTACCTCGTGATCGATGATGGCCTTTACTATTGAAGGAAAAGAGTGGTCTACACTTAGTGCCACAATCAAATTTCAACATATAACAATATTCTCTGGCATGAAGTGCCTCATGAACGTGACGTGACATTTGATGACAGACTAAGCTAATTTTTGGATGCTTGTTAGTGATGGGAAAGCTGTATTCAGGAAACTGTCCCAATGTGCACGTGTGTACAAAAACAAATTTTGCTCACGGTTCTCTGCTGCTCTCTTAATCCCTGCTTCATCTTCTGGTGATTCTGGGCTTAAGCCTGTCAGATCAAACCTGAAAAGAAAAACATTATACAAGAATTAAGGGAGAAATCCAAGAGTCCAATAGTGAAAATGCTTTTATTTAGCATATTATTAATACAATTTTCCCATATAATATAATATAATATATATCAAAAGAACAAAATGTATTTATTTGCTCACGGTTCTCTGCTGCTCTCTTAATCCCTGCTTCATCTTCTGGTGATTCTGGGCTTAAGCCTGTCAGATCAAACCTGAAAAGAAAAACATTATACAAGAATTAAGGGAGAAATCCAAGAGTCCAATAGTGAAAGTGCTTTTATTTAGCATATTATTAATACAATTTTCCCATATAATATAATATAATATATCAAAAGAACAAAATGTATTTAAAAATAAAAAATCTTTCTTTACCGTCACATTTAATCAATAATGCATCTTTACTGAATAAAAGTTTTCATTTCGTTCAAAAATCTTTCTGACTGAACAGTAGTGTATATTATATTAAATATTTGTTATAAATTAATAAGTATAACAATTTGAGTAACATGACAAATTAAAACTAAAATGAATTTCAGAATGTCTTAGTATTTTGTTTGTCCCTCTTTGCTTTGACCACAAGTATGTAACATCTGACCATGTGTACAAAGAGCCACTTGATTTGATTAATTACCTATAAGAGCACAGAATCTGAAATGCTTCTTCATTTTACTTCATAAATTTTCTTTGTTTTACATTTATCAAAAACCTAGGCATTATTTATTCTCAGGTTTAAATTACCACTGCGCATTTATGTACAGGTGCATCTCAATTATTTAATACACGAGTTTCACAATTTGAGTTGAATTACTGAAATAAATGAACTTTTCCACGACATTCTAATTTATTGAGATGCACCTGTATATGTACTAGATTTTAATGTTATCTACAGCAGAGGAAACTTACCATGAGGGCATAGTCATCTTCATGTTGAGAGTTACAGGGATTCGGGGTCTAGAGTCAAAGTATGATAGGCTTATGGTCAATAAATTACAAAGTAAATCAAGTGATACTAACATTTTTGTATTGCATAACAATCAACACATCAAAAAAAATATTTCACAGGTTTCCACTTACGCGTGTGGGCAGATGTATTTGATGTATGGCAGTCGAATAGACGTCATGGCATCAGCCCAGCCATGTCTATAATAAGTAACACCACAGGGTTATTTCTACACCAGGCCAGGGGGTATTAAAAGATCCTGCAACAGGCAGGTAATAAACAGAACGTACCCTGTGTCGCCCAAGCCATGAAGGAAGATCACCTGCAAAGTTTACAGAATAATACGGATGTGAAACTTATCTCTGCAAAGCCCAAAAGAGGCCAGATTTCCTGTCTGATGCTGACTTTGTGGTTATTTTATATGAAGATACTATCTCAATAGCAAACTTCAGCTTTCTATGAATCTATTCACCCTTTTCTTCCAATAAAGAAGGCAGCAGGCAGCCTATTTGAAGATTTGGACTGTAAATGTGAATCTGAGGAACAGTATAGGTTGTATGATGACTATTAAAAGAATGAACTTTCTGTCATCATTTAGTCACCCTCATGTCGTTCCAAACCCAAAAGAATTTAGTTAATCTTTGAGAGACAAATTAAGATATTTTTAATTAAACCTGAGAGGTCTGTCTCTCTTTTAAAGTCTAGGTAACCAAAACTTAGAAGATCTAAGAAGGTCATAGATTTGGTTTATTTGAAGGCTGGCCTGTGCAATGCTAATGAATAACTTGGACAAGATTAGAATTTAGTTAATGATTCGACTGGTCTCTCACCACAGCCGTTTCCTTCTCCGTCCCAGGCACTGTCAAGGCTTCAGAGAGCAGGGGTACAGACATGTTGTTGCCACACATACAATGTGAGGAGTGCTTTTAGGAAAATACAAAGACAAAATGTTCAAATGCAATCAGTACAAAATGTTTATGCAAAATAAAAAGGCCCAGGCAATAAGTGTTGGATATTAATGATACGAACCAGACGATTTTAGAAAGAAACGGTCAGCAGGCTGCAGAACGATTAACAAAAGTTGGTTTAATTACCAGTGTTACTTACTAAAGTCATTTCAACTAGCAATTCATGCCCATCTAAAGCTAAAATTGCTCTATTGCAGCTGCAGAGCATCTAGACTGAAAAAGAAAAAGCACTTTGAAAGGTAATGTAAAAATAACAGGGCGATTTAACCTACTGGATAAGCTCTGACGCTTATGTTAATCATACAGACGGAGGTTCATTTTGTGCTGGTGGCTGTGCGGGTCACAAGTAACGATTAACAAAAGTTGGTTTAATTACCAGTGTTACTTACTAAAGTCATTTCAACTAGCAATTCATGCCCATCTAAAGCTAAAATTGCTCTATTGCAGCTGCAGAGCATCTAGACTGAAAAAGAAAAAGCACTTTGAAAGGTAATGTAAAAATTACAGGGCGATTTAACCTACTGGATAAGCTCTGACGCTTATGTTAATCATACAGACATAGGTTCATTTTGTGCTGGTGGCTGTGCGGGTCACAAGTTTGTACTTGCAGACATCTGCTTAATATGAGTTCTCAGAAAACTGTTTCTAAAGCAGCCTAAAATGAAAACCACGGGTCCCTGTTTTCCTGGAATCACATGACAGCACTAAGAAATTGAATCTTGACAGCTGCAGGAGGCAAAACTCTCCAGTTTAATGGTTTCATTCGTCTTTGAGTGGCCTGGGTGACCGTATCACAAGTTTAAACCTTTAGTGTTTCAACACTTGAATGAACTCCATGTGCCAGTCTTGGTTTTATGGGTCAGTCTGTCTTTAGTACTGCACATGTTATCAAATACTTATATCAAATCATCTGCATTCTCCACTAAATTCCAGAAAAATACACCTTTTCAACGAAAGTGCATGGTCTCCATATGCATTTGATTACACCATGACTTATACACATTACTAAATGACTGTATTGATAATCTCTAATGCGTCAGTGCGATAATCCTTCTCACGAATCCTGCTATGAATACCACGATCATATTTAAAAAGAATGGGAAGAAAGGGATGGGCAGCGAAAACAATAGAGAAACGGGCGAAGCTTAGCTCATTTTTTTCCAACCTGGCGGAATCAAGGACAGGGTACATGTATAAATAAATCCGCCTGGTCTTTTCATTAACGACATGATCGCAGTTAGGCAGCTTAATCCTGTTTCGCCTGTATGATTGTCACAATGAATCCACAGCCTCATAGATGGAGCTATCTGGCTCTCTACCCCCGCGAATAATCCCACAATTACGCTACTCAACGACAAGTTTGCGCCTTTATAGCTAGCGATAAAGCCAAGGTCAGGGAGTAGATTAAAATTTAGGGTTCAGCCAGGAAAAAAGCAGATATAAACAGCGGCCCACTGCTACAAATTTATCGACTCACCGCTTGCTATCCCAGGTCACAACGGAACTTCCGCTCCTTCTGCCGAAGAGGGGCGGAGTCATGGCGCTGTGATGTCACCGCATTTGTTCAACCGCGTGAGCTTGAATGTTGCAAATGTTCAACGAAACGCACTAATGACTAAATGTCTCTAAACATTTTTAGCTAGTAATCTGTAAATAATACATTATTTTGTAAGCGTAAGGCCACAACGTAATTCAAAATGTTAATTTTCTGAATTGTGCGTTTTTTACAATCACAATAAAAGGTTATTTTAAGACTTTAGAAAATAACTATTTTTGTCACTTTATTTTTATTTATTTATTATTTTTAAATCTATTAAACACATACCACTATAGACCGCAAATTTTTTTTTATATTTAAATTGTCTATTATTTAGCCCATCACACACCACTACAGCACTTTCTTTAACATCTGGGCCCAGCTGTAACACACCTTTTAAGTCAAGAAACCCGTTAGTTATACAAAATATCTAAGCGTTTTCTGAAGTGGTTTATTGTATTACAGCAACAAAAAAAATGTTATGCTGCAGTGAAGAGCAATGGATTTGTAGTGATGGATGTTCAAAGTGTTTGTCCACTGCTCCTGTCACAATAGACATTTATATGTGAACTTGAACTGAAACTGTAGAAGTGCACCATTAATTAACTAATAGCAGAATAATAGAAGTTGTTGTAAAATGTGTGATATGAAATGCCAAATGTAAAATTAACCAGGAAATTATCTTGAAAACTTTCTTTTTACACAAATTACATGAATCCATCAATGTTATACACTTTGAGGACTCAATTAAAACACATTTTGTGGTTTTTAAATGTCAGATTTTTTACCTAAGGTAATAATGCAAAACAATATTAAATTAATGTATAAGACATTGTAAAAATGAGAATAAGAACAACAAAATTTCCACTATATAGCATTCTTTAGAGATGGTTTTTAAGGAACAGACTTCTTGCACAGCTCATCTGTTCTGTTTGTTGAAGCATACACTTTTTATTTGACATAAGCATACATTAAGTAATTATGCTTATATAGCCTAAGGTTTACTGGCACATTAGCAGAATTGCAGATGAACAAACCCTTGTGAAGAAAACCCTGTTGAACACATCAAAGAACACATAGGCTCTCTCAGTTTATCATCTCACCGTTATCAAAACTCATGCACACTTTTATAGTTTCACACAGCACACGTGAGATTCTCTCTCCTCCATTTGTCATGATATGAACTGTGTTTGGGGTGTAATAGTTTCCACTTTGTGATCTGCTGGGTTGGCTGCTGCTTCATAGTTGCAGATTGTGACTTCATGCCTATGAGCCTGAAAGAGAGAGAAAAAGATACTAGATGAAGGTGACTGCAAAAATACAGATGCTTCTGGATTTCTTTAACTTATTTTTCTCGCCGAAGCAAAACAAATATTAACAGAAACAGCAACACCAGCATAATATTGCCATAATATGGCGCATCTTCCACCAGTTATGATGGAAGTGTTTTTGTTGTTATAGCAAGATATGTTTTATTCAATACTGACCTCTGTGTACTCTCCCCGCAGACCAATGTAATACACACGAGTGGATTCTGCCCCAAAGTTTCGAGTTATGTGGATTGATAAGTGCTGCACGTTGGAGAATCTTGCAATCCTATATAAAACATTTGCACATGATCAACATAGATTTATAATGTCCAACATACAGGATATTGATGCATGTTAACATATTTAAAATTGCTTACTTGGTTGGATACTCAAGCTCAGCAAGCGGATCCCTGTTTAGACGAAACGCTTGCTCTGGCTCTCTGCTTGTATCGTCAAATGACATTTGAGGGATGTTCTTGTACCTGCTCAAAAAGCACCCAGTTGCAACACTCATTCGTGGAAATTGTAACTGCATTATTCATACGTGATGCTGCAAGAGATTTTGTTTATATATATATATATATATGGCTAAAAAAAACTACTCAGAAAAGCTGAGAAAAGAGCTTTCAGCAAACGATCCAGCGTCAGTATGGACTGGTCTGAGGAACATCATTTAGGCAAATTGTTTACAAATTATATTAAATAGACGATAATTAAGAACAGAAAAGAAACTGAAATGGATTCTGCTTGCAACAAATCTTACGGTATATTGAACAGAAGCTCCTCGTCAGCATCGCTTTCAACAAACTGAAAATAAAACAGGAGACATACATTAAAACAAACAGAACAGCAATCTGACAACCGAGTTTATTAAAATCAGTTTATTTAATTTTACTTAGAAGAGTTCATATAAAGTAAAATAAACATACATATATGCAACCAGAAATAATGATCCCTTTCAGCTTCACGCTACCTGTAAACCTGCAGATTTAACCATATGCACCAACTGTATCCATTTCTGTCGGTAAACCACTCAGTATTTAGGCAAATTGTTTACAAATTATATTAAATAGACGATAATTAAGAACAGAAAAGAAACTGAAATGGATTCTGCTTGCAACAAATCTTACGGTATATTGAACAGAAGCTCCTCGTCAGCATCGCTTTCAACAAACTGAAAATAAAACAGGAGACATACATTAAAACAAACAAAACAGCAATCTGAGTTTATTAAAATCAGTTTATTTAATTTTACTTAGAAGAGTTAATATAAAGTAAAATAAACATACATATATGCAATTAAGTATGTAAGAAAATACAGAAGTGTCTTAATTCGCGGTTTGACTCTATTCTACAGGATAACGTAGCGTCTGTCACACCTCCTGCATAACTAAGCTAGGTTAATTGGTACCTTCGCCCTGTCAGTGCGTTGATCCCAAGGCTTGAACACCAGTTTACCGTCTCCGTCTCGGCTCTCATTCAAACACTGAAGCTTCTCGATATCAATGCGTCTGTACAGCTCATATTCCACACCTCGCTCTGCTGGTTCGTGATCGCATTCACAGCAACCGTGGCCGTGTCCGCCGCCGTGGCCGTGTCCAGACATGGCGTGAACTTGCAGTTCGGGACCGAAAAAGTGCCGAAACACTCAAGATTAAGCTTACTGGAGAGATACGTACGACTGCTCTTCTCTAGTAGGAGCTTCTGTGACATATGCTAAAATCGTAGTTACGCAGGTGGTAGAAGTGGGAAAGTACACAACACGCAAATACGAAACGTGGAACGTGATTGGACCACAAAAAAACAAGGGAACCAATGAGGAGTAGTGTTTGGAGTCGCGTTCTTGTGACGCATTAACGTATCGTTGGTCGCTTCGCGTCATCGTAAAGTGGAAAGAAAACAAGCTGTGCCATTGAAGTGATTCAGATAAATAAATATTACATTATTTACTCGGGCTAATGTTGTTTTAAACCTGTATCATTATCTTTTTTAGCTTTAACACAAAGGTTAGATGTTTTTGGCATAATGACCGCCACCTTTTACTGTCTTTAGTGGTCTACTGACGAAAAGGAAGTCATACAAGTTGAGACATGAGACCAAGTAAAAAAATTACTTAATTTCCATCTTAGGTGATAGCACAGAGTAATAGTGAAAAGTTGAAAATTAAAACATAACCCAGATGTAAAACACCCATAAATATATACACAAATAAGAACATGGTGAGAGCAACACATGGATTTTATTAAAAATGTCCATAGAACACTTAATAAAATCTATTAAAACGACTTGATCTTTCATTCAAGGCAAGGTCCAGGACTGCCAGGTCCAAGATTTAAAATAAATATGGTGGTGTGGAAGTGTAAAGTCCTTGAACTTTTTACATCTCATCTCTTTCTCCCTCTCACTACAATAAAATCGTATACCTAGTCCCATGAAAATGCAATGATTATTGTAAGCAATTAAATAAACATATAACAGAGAGTCTGGGTTTTGGTGTCACATGGTAATCCGTAGTGTACCACTTGTTTTCAGTGTTTGTAAAACGCTTACAACATGCTATGACATAATTGAGTGTGGATGGTTGTTGATGCAGATATTTTCTGTGATTGCGTCCAGTGAGCTGTACTGATAATATTAAAAAGCATAAAAAGATAAGAGGCGAGAGGGCATTGCACATTTCCTATGAAGCATTACAGCAAAAAAAAAAATTTCCTCTTCCAGTCGCTCTCTCTTCTATCACACACACAAAAACATTTTTCCTTTTACCGCCGAGAAAATCTGTTCTTGAATGCCTTGATAGTCTTAGCCATCATTGGAGCAACTTCTGAAAAACAAAAAGCAGAAAAAGTGGTAAAACACATTCAAACAACCCGTTCAAGCAATTAAATGAGCAAATATTGGACATGATCTTAATAACATTAACGGTGATATACAATACATAAATATCTGTAAAATAAATATGTAAAGATAAACATTTAACAGCAACAACATTTCCTCTTAGACTCACTTTTGACCTGCGGTTTGTCTCTAGCACTATGAGCACCAGCACTGCTGGGAGCAGAAGGGCGTGAGGAGGACTCAGGGGGGCTGCTAAAAGAAGACTGACCACCATCACTGGATTTGCTGTAAGCACTGTAGTTTGTTGCTGGTCTGATCCTGTATATGAAGAATTAGCATAATATTTCAATGGAGCTACAAAAAACTAAATAAAATCCTTCTCTTTTTTTGTTTGGAAGAAAAGCAGATTGTCAGCCAAAACGTCATGATAAAGATTCATCTACATGACTAATGACATCTTTGTGACTAATGCAGCATTCACTTACTTGGCAGATGGAGGAGCAGCGCTTGTGCTGGTAGAACCATTTTTAGTGCCAAACTTCTCCTGTATACGGCGGACATCTCGCGGAGGCTTAGCGACAGAGTTGACAAAAGCCATTTTAACCTGCCGCCCTGTTTAGAAGTGAACAATACAGAGAAAACACGGAGTTGTTATTATTGTGAACAGTTTACTTAATCCTCGCCTACATTTTTATTGCACTCACTGAGCTACAATGTTAACATTTTCTATGCAAAGATCTATGCAATAAGTTTGATCTAAGAGTATTGATTACTGCCTGTGTGTACCTTTAGGTTTCTTTGCATGGGCAGAGGTGATGTTCTCTGTGAGCTTGCGCAGACGCTCTTCCCTTTCTTCATGGAGCCGGAGATACAGCTCCCTCCAGGATTCATACTCTTGTCGAGGGTCATGTTTAAAATCCCGCTGACAGTGTTTCATCCACAGATCATCTGACTCTTCTGTGAAATACTGAGTAGAGAGGCTTGAAATTAAAGATTAGTCCAAAAATAAGCCCTAAATAAATCACCATGCTAAGCTCTAACGAGAAAACTTTGAATGCAGTGTTGTTCTTAAGATAAGTATTATGACTGAGAATGTAAACAAAAGTTTGGGGTCTATAAGATTTTTTAATGTTTTTGGAAAAAAGTCTCTTATGCTCATCAAGCCTGCATTTATTTGATCAAAAATACAGTAAAATTGTAAGAATATTGTGAAATATTCCTATTTTAATATATTTTAAAATGTAATTTATTGCTTCAGAAATCATTCTAATATGCTGATTTGGTGCTCAAGAAACATTTCTTATCAATGATGAAAACAGATTTTTGTGGAAACCATCATACCTTTTTCCTGGAGTCTTTGATGAATAGAAAGTACAAAAGAACAGCATTTATTTGAAATATTATAAATTTGTAACATTATTTGTCATCATTTGTAACATTACAAATGTCTTTACTGTCACTGTTGATCAACTGAATGCATCTTTGCTAAATCAAAGTATTAATTTCTTTAAAAAAATCTTACTGACCCACACGTTTGAACAGTAGTGTACATGGTTTCAAAACTGAATAGAATACATGAAAAAGACACAAGCAGTTTAGTAAGAGAACCAGATCAGAGATTAGATTAGAACTGTGAAATAAATCATCTGCATGTGACTGTGTTGACACATACTGGATTACACTGCTCAATCCGGTAAAGCTGCTCAGGAGTGCATCTCTCCAGAACCGGTTCCAGAATCTCGAATGGCACTCCACCCACTTCATCAATTGCTAAGAGAATGCAAGAAATACCAGTAAAAAGACGATTCATTTCAGGTCAATTGGTGGTTAATACTTCAGCCAGCCTGAAACAACATGGCATCCTTTACAGATGTGATTTGAACTTGGTGTCTTCACATTTCTCACACACATCAGACTGCGACTCTTGATTATATAGGGTTTAACTGACCCAGTAACAGCACATTAGGGCTAAAGACTATACTAAAACGTTTAATCAATAATTACTATTATAACAAATGATCAGAGAATGAGAAAACTTACAATCTATATTGTTCTGTAGGACTCTGATGCACTGTTCATACAGAGACATCATTTTCGGCAAATACGAAGTCTTGGACCCCGAGTACACCACCATTTTAGAGTTCAGTCTTCGACCTGCGTAGCCACCATCCTCTTCCTCATATGACAGTGGGACTGGAGGAGAAAAACATGAGTCCATGCAGAAAAAAATCATTGGGATTTATACACTTAAGATTGTTTTTTAATTCAGATTCTTTTAGGTTATAAAACCGAAAACCGCATACCTTTGCGCCTCTGGGGGGACAGTGGTGTAAGATCAATGGAGGGCAGTGGTCTGTAGTTGGGCTGGATGGCTGGCAAAGGGATATCAGGCAGTGTGGGAACCACATCCACTACCTGGAGAAATAATGATTAGAAATCCTTCGACACATGGACAAAAGCTGGTTTCCCATCACCTAGTCTGAGAAACAAGTTCAGCCTCACCTTCCTGCGTTTCTCTGGAACAGGCGTGGTCATGGAGGAAGAGGATGGCTTTGAGTGTTTACTACTGGTCCCATTGGCTTTGCCAGACTTAGAGGAAGCAGAAGGAATCGAGGCAGGAGGCTGAGGGGGTCGCGAGGATTGCTTTTTCTTCTTTTTGCTTGGGGTCGGAGCATCGTATGTGACTCCTGCATCAGCATCACACGCATGCGTCGCGCTGCTCACATGTGCAGCTTTGGCCAATAATGAGCCGGCGTTCGGACGTGGAACACGGAAGCCTTCACTGTGCTTACTGCGTTAACCGCGTAAGGATAATGACAGGGAAGAAAAGAGATTGCTGAATAAAGTTATTATTTTGTTTTATTTTTGCGCACAAAAAGTATTCTCGTCGCTTCATAAAATTATTGTAGAACCACTGTAGTCACATCGACAGTTTTAACGACGTCTTTAGTACCTTTATGGGTTCAGCCTCACCTTCCTGCGTTTCTGTGGAACAACAGACGTGGTCTTTGAGGAAGAGGATGGCTTTGAGTGTTTACTACTGGTCCCATTGGCTTTGCCAGACTTACAGGAAGCAGAAGGAATCGAGGCAGGAGGCTGAGGGGGTCGCGAGGATTGCTTTTTCTTCTTTTTGCTTGGGGTCGGAGCATCGTATGTGAGAAAGGATTCGAAAGACATAGTTGGAGCCTCATATGGCTCCTCATCCTCATCCACTGGCTCTGGAATTTCCCTCCTCTCCCTTGATTTTCCTTAAAGGCAAAGGCAATTCAAGTAAAACCATATAAAACTCAATTTTAAAGGGTTAGTTCACCCAAAAATGAAAATTCTGTCATTAATTACTCACCCTCATGTCGTTCTCATGTCGTTCGGATTTGATCAAAAATATCTCAATTTGTTTTCTGAAGATGAACGAAGGTCTTAGGGGTGTGGACCGACATGAGGGTGAGTAATTAATGACAGAATTTTCATTTTTGGGTGAACTAACCCTTTAAGTTATTAACTGAGAGGAAGTGTATAAAATTGATCAAAAGTGACAGTAAATCCATTTTTAATGTTACAAAAGATTTCAAATAAATGCTGTTTTTGTTTACTTTCTATTCATCAAATGGCGTGAAAAAAATAGTTTCACAAAAAAATATAAAGCAACACAACTGTTTGATTATAATAAGAAATGCTTCTTGAGCAGCAAATCAGCATACTAGAATGATTTCTGAAGGATCATGTGACACTGAAGACTGGAGTAATGACTGCTGAAAATTCAGCTTTGCCATTACAGAAATAAATTACTTTTTAAAAATGTATTACAAGAGAAAAAATATTTTAAATTGTAATAACACATATTCACAATATGACTATATAATATATCAATAATATATTCACAATATGACTGTTTTTACTGTATTTTTAATCAAATAAATACAGCCATGGTGAGTATAAGAGACTTCTTTAGG